TTTTTTTTTTTTTTTTTTTCTCTCTCTCTCTCCTTCTGTGACGCAAATGGTCGGGATAGCGATGGTATCATTGCTGAGGAATCCTACGTGCCTCACAATTTACTACGTGGCTCAAGAAACTTGTTGGTAAGGTAAATGCTGAAATATATCTACATAGGGCGTGTGGAAGTAGCAATGGCAAAGAACGTCGCCCATGTTCGGGAACTATGGTTCGTTAAATTCAGACACTGTCATCGTAGTTCTGAACTACGTTGGCCGCCGCTGCGTTAGATGCAGCGTACTGCAGTAGACGCAAATGACGCCTAGATCGACCAGCTGACTGCGTGCGTCGACCCCGCCTAATTCTCCGCCCGCGATGTGCGCGCGGCGCGTCGTGTCGTCTTTTTGCTCACGTCGCTCGTGCGCTTCCCCTCCCTGGTCTTCCCTCCCCGGCTCCTCTTCGTCCCGGCCTCGCGTCCCGCCGCCGCCGCCGCTCCGGTTACCCGCCGGCCTTGGGCGCCGACCCGTTTGTGACAAATTGCTCCCAGCACGGAAGTCTCCGCGCGCCCGACCTTCCCGCTAATAATATTGGGGATTTAATCGCGGGCCCCGACCCGCGCCAAGTCTGCCATTGCGTTGTGACCCTGCCCCGTTGTGTTCAGCCTCGGCAATCGTGGCAGCTCCCGCTCGCGGGTAGGCGTCACTTCCAACTAGCGCCGCCCGCGCGCCTCCTCCCACCGGCTACCGCCAACTTCGGCACATTCTCGCCAGCCTGCTTCCTCCACGCGCGGCCGAAATTGGATTTGGCAAAGGAGCCTTAATCTCGCCTGCGGGTAATGGCTCGCCGCCGTCTTGGCGGCTTCGCAGTTCCGGAAATTTTTCGTGCGGCGGTCATAAACACGTTCGGTTTTTACGTACGAAAATAACACCCGTGGCCGACGGAGCGCTGTATTTTTAAACCTGGCGGGTTTTGGATGGCGAGGTCGGAGTGATATTTCGTAAACGATTTGGCGCGTGGGAGTGGTCGATCTGAGAGGCCGAAAGTAATATCCTATCCCGTGACGCGCGTGGTACAGACGTCAATTTCCAAATAACACGAGGAGCTTCCTTCAGTCCAAATCATTTTGTACGGTGAGTAGGAATACGCGTGAAGTGACAGCGCCTCGCTTCGTTATTATGACCATTTACATAACAGATAATTAAGAGGAATTATTTATTTTTTAAAAGGCTGTTTTCCTTTCTTGGTACTGATGGAGCAAGACCATCGAAAATCCAGGGCATTTGTTTAACCGTATGAAAGACCATTTTCCAGTTGGGTGGCCTGCCCGCAAAAGTCCCCGCGGAGCGCAGCTCCTAGAGGAATTCGGTGCGGTGGTATAAATTTTCATGTGCGGTGGCAGCGACGCCGTGGGTCGCCCGCCCGCAGCTGGGCGGGGGTGGGGAGGGGAGGCAGGGGCGCCACCGCTCCGGAAATCCGCTCCTCCGCCAGGGTATTATTTCTGCGGAAGCGTCTGGGAAGGGCGCGAGAGGGGGGGAGGGGGTAGAGGCGGTGTCCCGCCCCCCCCCGCGAGAGCGGGAGGGAGGGAGGCTCGCCCCCCATCTCTTCCGCTTCTTCGCGCACTCGCTTCGGTCCTCGCGGCGCTCATCGCTCCGAGGGCGTTTGGCCGACGCAAATGATCCTTCGTTGAAAAGTTGTAAACAAGACGGACCCGCGGCCGGCGGTGGACGAGAACCGAGGAGCGCCCGCCGCCAGCTGGGGCAGACGTGCGGGGCCTGCCGAGCGGACGCCGCCACCGAACCGCCCCCGCCACCGCCCCGCCCCGTCCCCGCCGCATCGGGATGCGGCGCCGACGTCCGCCGTTCCCATGGAAACGGATCTGCGGGGCCGGCATCGCTATGCCGCGCCGCCTCGGTTAAATGTCGCGCGGGCCTCGGACGTGCGGTGCATCGCTCGATGACTGACCGACCGACCGCACGCCCGAACACTCGATCACTCCCCCTCCCCCTCGTCAGCGTTCTCTTCGAGATTCTTGCTTCTTCACCTCTGCGTTTCCACATTTCTCGTAAATTGGATTGTCACACCAATGTTTCTTCAATATTCAAAATACTCGCCTCTTTACTGGCTACCGCTTTAGTTCTAGTTAAGTGTTAATGTTTTCCCTCTGCCAATCTCATGTTTATCCACAACTATTGTCTCAAGGTATTGATTAGAGATATTCAATCTCCGTCATTCGTAGATCTGAAGTTTGCAGCTAATATTTTGATAAAGTAAAAAAAAATATTATGTAAAAAAATATGTGATAAAGTAAAAATATATTGAACTTCGCAAGCTAGACATGAAACTTTTATGTAATTGGGTGTTTCGGAATAACGCTGTGTTTCTGTCGAAGTGGCGCGATGTGTTAGACGAAATGTACGTAATTTTATTTCTCGTTTTCCTTTGCAGTGGAAGATAGCTTGCAGGATATGTGGGATGTGACATTCCACATCTCCCTTCCTCTTTCCAGTCTCGGTACCTCGCCTATTTCTCCTCGGGCCCTGACGTCAGCCGGCGACATTCCTTGGCATCGAATTTGCCGTGAATTACCATATCCTCAGTAGAAATGACGCAGATAGTCCTCCCACTAACTGTCGTTGCTCAAGAATTTGAAATTTCTTCAAGCACAGAGTTTTGCAAAGGATCAGAAATGCGTATTGTTAGAAACGTTTCGGTTAGCGTGGGAGAAACTACACTGTTTCTCGAGAGTTATTGAATAAAAATTTGCAAGAAAAAATTCAATAATTAATTAAAATGCAGTTACTTGCGGTTTATCGTAGTAAATTGCAACCTTTCTTTAAGATTCTTGGGAAACTAACAGGACGGAACTTCCGTTCTCGGGTAACATGTGAAGTAATAGGGATAAAGAAATCGCAGAAAGGAGCATCATAGCACAACTCGGTCAACATTCACTTGTAATAGAGAGCACATCTGGTTCGTGTCAGTGAGTAAGACTACATTCCATAAAAATGCGTGTTCCGATTGAGGAACCCATGGTTTGTCACATTCTCTCTGTGATTAGATTTCTGACACGGAAAAACTCGGAATCATCTAAACATTTTCAATACCGCTGTGAAGCTTCTGGTAAGAACTCGTGATATTTTTTAATTGTCGAATGTGCATGAATTATTATAGATTGTTAATTGATGCCTTGAAAGTTTTATTTTCTGATTCTTAACCAAACTTTTGTCAAGAACGTTTAATATTCAAAGACATCATTATTAATAAAGGTCTCCATTGAAGCTTCTACAAGCTGAATTCTGTAAAGTTGTCTTCGAAGTCGTTGTATCTGGCAAGCGTATTCATTCTTTGCGAGCGACAGGTCGAAAAGATGGTGGTTTTTTGTCGCCCCCGCGAACGCCGCCGACGGGAATCGTGTTGCGGTCGACAAAAATTCCAGCCCCCTGCTGCGCGCCCGCACGCGGTTTTTACGCGAGAGACCGTGCGCTACCCGAGCGCGACATTATCCGAGCGCGGTTTCGAAACAAATATTTAATTTTTTGATGGAAGTGGGAAGTGGTATCGTTTTTATGCCGTCGCCAAACGCTCGCGCGCCAGTTGGAATGGTGCGTGCAAATCACGCGGCTTTGAATGTGCGTAGCGACACCCGATGGAACACACGGGCAGATTTCTGAGCTGTTTCGTCAACACGTGCATATACTTGTATTTGTGGAGTTTTAATATATGAGCATTAGTTTTAAATGGAGAAAAAATTGTTGAACTAAGGATGATGGATTTAAGGGAGTTTCGTAAGAGTTTGTCTCCTAAGAACAGAGGAGAATTCACAAAACACTAGTATTTCAGGAGGGGGACTTGAATTCGCAACTCCTTCAAATATTGTTTTTAAATTTAAAAAAAAAGTTTCAAATCAAAAGTATGCTCTTGTATTATTCACGGCAGCTTCTTCATGCGCATGCCCTGCCGTTCCCATCACCACTGTGTGGTGCATAGTGTAAGTAACACTTGGAAGTGGTTTTCGACTGCCTCGTGAGACGTTCGAGCGTTGAGTTGGCGTGTTCCGTACGTTGGCTGCGCCTTCGTGCGTTGGCTGCGCCTTCGTGCGTTGGCTGCGCCTTCGTGCGGGAGGCGGTCGTGGCCTGGCGCTGCCGGCGGCCCGCCTAACGCAAGGCCCCCTCTTCTCTTGTGTTGCAGCGCCCCGCTCGGGCAGCAGCGGCGGGACCAACAACCTGCCGCCCATCCTCTTCCACCAGGTGCACGGAGACAACATCCGCGTGTCGCGCGACGGCACGGTGGCCCGCCGCGCGGAGAGCTTCTGCAAAGGAGTCACCTTCAGCAGCCGCCCCATCAAGGTGGCCGAAAAGGTGGGTGGCCGGCGAGAAATGATACAAGTGTGCTCTGAGAGGTTTGGGAATTAGTTGACCTTCTGGTTTCTCTTGGTATGCAAGTTTTTACTTGATTCGTAATCTTCCATATTCTACAGAAAAGAATGAAGTGCATTATCTTACGCAATCTGTTCAATGTAATATTCACTTAAATGTTATTAATTTTGTTCAAAGTCTTTCGCTAATGAGAAATTCTCCGTGCAAGATGTACTTGCTTGCATTTATTAACCGGGTAAATTCCTAACAAAACATCGTTACACGCATTTCTTACAAAGAAATCAGAATCAATCTCCGTAGTTCATATTTCGGGGCCTTCATCCGTTTGCCCATATATGAAATCGCCTTTCCTGCTTATTTTGATATAATTTCAGTTATTTTAATTAAAATTAGAAAAGAGATAGGTGACAATTACAATGTGCCGTAGTTAACAATTTTGCCAGCGGCTCTATGTAGTTACTTCGTTTCACAATTAATTCCAAAAGTTTTATCCCGTTTCATATTCACATGTTTACGCACAGCACAAAAACTTCCATACATGCAGATAGTCGAAGGGCAATTAATTTATTTCAGCAATTCTATATATTTGACGTTAGTTGCGTTGATTGACTATGAAGACGTGTACATTTTCTGTCTTTAAACTATAGGAGAGACCAGTACTGATAAGTTAAAATAAAATTGTGTTTACAATAATTATATTGTTCATAAACGAAGGTTGCATGACGATTGAACGCGCCGAAAGTAAATATTTCTAGAGGTCTGCTGTGGTCTGCGACCGCCCACTTCGTCGCGAAATCTGTACAGAGGGGAGTTTCGCCATTTGGGAGTCTCCCGCACGAGTGGGCATAAATCCCCGGGGGCTGTGAGTCACAGGTGGAGTCGCGAGTTGTTTCCTAACAAGATCTGTGTCGCGGGGGCGACCAGCACCGCCCACGTCCCTCGCGCTGCAAATGGCTGACGAGCATCTGTACCCCCACTCAGTGCCGGGGCTAGCCAATTTTGGGCCCCGAGGCAATGCAAAGTCATTTATAGGAGTGTAAGATTTTAACGTTTATTGCTTCCCCTTTACAAAAATCAGAACATTACTAAGAATGAATTCATTATTCAACACTTTGGTTTGCTCCGTAGCTCATTTTTTATTAGCATTCACTTTCTACAATGCGATGTTTTAATTCCTAAACTTCAATGAAAAATAAATGGACAATATCTGTATATAATTTTACGAAAACATATATTAAAATATCTTTAAGAGAAGAATTTGATGGCCTAAAAGCTTTCAGTGACTATTGTTTTGTAAAATTTTCAGAATTGTCTGACATTTTCATTTCATAGTCCTACCGTCTAAACAAGGACTATAATTAACTATTTAAGGTAAATTGCAAATTTGATGAATTATCAACTACTGTACTGCGAACTTTTAAAATTGCTTCAGCAATTTTGTAGAGTTCTAATTTGGTTTTTAATTTTTTTTTTATATTTTTCCCCCTCATCGGGCCCCTTGATTTCCGGGACCCCTAGCGATCGTCCGGTCTGCCCATGCCTAGCGCCGGCACTGCCCCCCCCGCCCCGTCAATGACTTACCGCTGCGAGATCGCGTCGTGATGCGATGCGATGCTCTGCGAGAGGTGACGCGCGCGCCGCTCCTGAGAAAGCGGTAATGTTTATTTTGGTGCGCGAGTGGATTGCTTCGCTGCGCGACCCACATTGCGTGATCTATGGAACAGACGCGCCTAGAATGAAGCAGCGCACTCTCGCTGCACGGATCGTTGCAAAATGCGCGACGGTGTCGCCGGTTTATTAACGCGGAACAACGGATTGGTGTTGGTGGTTTTTTTGGGGGGGGAGATAGTTTGACTGAATTAAGTATGATATAAAACCAGTATAAATGTGTCTATATTCGTAGATAATAAAACCATTTTTTTCTTGGTTTTAACTGCCTTTGGGCATTTCTCTGAACTTGAAATACAGTGCACAGTCCCATCAGTAGAATAGTCTTAAAATATCTCTATAAAAACAATGTTTCTGTTACGTTCATTACATCCTTCTGTTGATAACAAAGTACTGGCATTAATTGTGGAGTGGAATAATCCTCTTTAACTTAGTTATCGTCAGTCATTGCCTTTTATCCCTTCAATCGAGGGTTTGTGTAGGACCTAAAGTAACGTGTATTCAAACGTGTCAGACAGATGTAGAGATATGCAGCGTAACAAGCAAAACAGCCTCTGCTGGAAACAGGTCTTACTTGCGTACTGATCTGTGTCGTAAACTCTTGTCGTTCAGACCTTGAGAGCTCCCACCGTTGGCTGGTAACTCTCCGAGCAGGATCTTCTAATTAGAAAATATCAATTTTCGTTCTCTGAACATGTGGTAAGGCGTAGACCTTTTTGTCATTTTAACAAACGCGGAAGAAAAAAAAGCTTAATGTTGCAAGGTGGTAATTACCAAGATTTCTCAGGAGGTGAACACCTAGACCCCTGTATGGTTACTGTGCATGATCTAACCAATGGTCTGTTGCAAGAGCTCACCTATGCAAACTTTCTCTTTCGCAGGTGTGTGTCAAGTTCCTAGAAGTGTCTGACAACTGGAGTGGAGTCATCAGGTTCGGGTTCACTTGCAATGACCCCAATAACCTGCGATATGGGCTTCCTAAATACGCTTGTCCAGGTAAGATAACTACATTATAAAAATAATTTATTTTCGAAAAGACCGGTGTGCATTGATGGAACAATACTCTATTGCGCGAAATTGAAATAACTCGAATTAATAAATTTCATTATTACTCCATATTTTATTAAATATTCAAATTAGTTATGTAGGTACGGTTCGCGGAGGTAATTTAATTGTAAAGACGTAAGGAAATGCAGGCCCACGAAATGAGTGGGTTGACTCCTAAGACATATCCGTTATGGCAGCGCGAGGGCTGTTATCCTATTGCTGCTGCTCCTGGCGATGGCGCTATCTCGCGGACGGAAATGGCTTCGGGAACGATCGGCCATAAATCTCGAAAGAGGTCACACTGCCTCTCAGCGGAACGTTTTCTCCTATTCCCTTCGTGAAAATGCCTCTCTTGACATTATCTTAATCCGCTTTTCGTGCATTTCGACCCCATTGCTCTTTTCATTAGAAACTAGTTCTTGCCGTCTTTAGGTGGGAGTGGGTTGGGCAACGGGAGACAGGAGCAAGTCGACAGTTACGGATGTTGGAAGGACGGTGGACGGGTCTCGCTGGGCAAGAAATTCCGAAACAATTGGTAACGGTGAAAATTAGTCGGAGTCACGCCCTCCAAGTATAGAATCTTAACTTTCCATCCTGTTATCAAAATGTTCTTTCTCGTTATGAATAAATTCACGATATACAAAATTTCGAAGTAAAAGTTCATTACATTCTAATACTATGCACTGCTGCAGATATTTTTTTTTTAATTTTTTTTGTTTCCAAATATCAGAATTCCTACGATGACTGCACGGAAGTGCGTGATTTGATAAGGTCTATTACGCCTAGAGTATGTTAGTTCCACAATGCGTTTGATTCACAATACAGTAAGCACTAACCCTCCTCGGAACGTAGACAATAAGAGCGTTTGCTGTCGTGTTGCAGATCTCACCAACAAGCCCGGCTACTGGGCGAAGGCCCTGGCGGAGCGGTTCGCGGAGCGCGACACGGTGCTGTTCTACTACGTGACGCAGGCGGGCGACGTGTACTTCGGCATCAACGGCGAGGAGAAGGGGCTGTTCTTCAGCGGCGTGGAGACGCGCGGGCCGCTCTGGGCCATCATCGACGTGTACGGCAACTCGACGGCCATCGAGCTGGTGGACCCGCGCCTGCAGCTCAACAACTCGCGGCGCAACCTGGCGGCGGCGGCCAGCTGCGACGCCAGCCCCGACGTGGACCGCCTCATCGTGCCGTCGCTGAACGCGCTGTCGCTGCAGAACCAGAACCAGCAGCAGCCGCAGCAACCGCCGCAGCTGGTGGCGCCCCCGCAACAGCAGCAGCAACAGCAGCCCCAGCAGCCGCCGCCGCCCCCGCAGCAGCGCGTGGCCGACGAGCCCGAGTTGGTGCACCAGGTGCAGCAGCCGGGCACAGTCTTCAGCACGCTGCCCTTCCACCGGTGAGTGCTCGCTCCGTGGAAATTTGCGAAACAATTTCAATGAATTAACAACTCTGTCGTGAGTGCTTGTCAATTCAGATTTAGTATTCATTATACGTTTTGAAAATATCTTTAAAAATGTGTGTCTAAAAAAACAATATGCTCGCTTCCTAACATCATAATACTAATTAATCTCGAAAATTTTACACAGCCCTCTGGCGTAATTAAACTATATTCGTGAATTGTTATAATTAAAATTTACTACCTATATTAGTCTGATGTATCTTTGAAATTGGACATTGTTTTGTTGTTGATTTACATCCACACTTACAAAATGTTTCCTTCGATTACAGCACGAGAGGTCGCAACATTCGCCTCAGCAACGATCGTTGCATAGCCAGCAGAACGGATACGGAGTTCTGCCACGGCTACGTGTTCACTTCGAGACCGATCAAGCTTGGAGAAAAAATCGTGATTCAGGTGAGGGTTCATTGGAAGCGGTCAATGTCGCCTACCGCAACACTTTCCACGGCGCGTTTCCTTTTCGAGGACAAGTTCGCAAAATTTCACTTTCGCCTTTTCCTTTCTTCTAGGTCATGGCGACCGAGCCGATGTACGTGGGCGCACTGGCCTTCGGGCTGACGTCATGCGACCCCGCTTCGATACAGGGCAGCGAGCTGCCGGACGATTCCGACAACCTCCTCGACCGGCCTGAATACTGGGTGGTCAGCAAGGATGTGGCCAGTTGCCCCCAGAGAGGGGACGAACTCACGTTCTGCGTTACGCATACAGGTGTGTACGGCGCTGCTTGTTCTTTTTTTGACGTGCTGCCGCCCACTTTTGACCGTTTCATTTTGAGCACGCAGAAATCGTCTTGAAGATAGGCCTGCCTGCTTGCCTTTCTCTTGTTCATAAAAAGATGTTTTGTAAGGGTTTCCCAGTTATTACAGAAATGAGAAATTACAGAATTACTGCTATGTGAAGAGTAAATTAAAAGGAAATTTTTAAAAGAATTTCAACACTATAAAATCAAATTCTTCACTCTCCGTTTTTTTTTATTTTTTATTTTTGTTATTTAATATGGAAAATTGAGATGGCTGTTGGATTAGAAACTAAAATTAATTTACTTTGGCAATAATTTAAAAATTCAGAGTTACAGTCCCAAAGGTGATGGAATGTTTTTCCTTTCGATCAACTTAATTACAATGTTGCAAAAGAGGTGGCAGAAGGCTTCAAGGAAGTCTATTGAAATCCAGCCCTTAATCCTGTACTTTATCTAAATACCGATTGTAGCAAGTGCAATAGTCTAAAGAAATGCTTTTGCGTTACAGGTGAGGTGCAGTTCTCCAAAAACGGCAGCCCTCCGGTGGTGTTCATGCACGTGGACCACACGCTGCAGCTGTGGGCGTTCCTGGACGTGTACGGCAGCACGCAGAAGGTGCGCATCTGCGGCAGCATGCTGGAGCTGCGGCCGGCGTCGTCGTCGCCGCCGGTGCTGCGTCCGCTGGTGGAACCGCAGAGGCTGCGCGTCAGCCTGCCCTCGTGCAACGGCGTGACCGGGGACGCGCCTGTGCCGCACGGCGGGCCGCACCCGCACGCTCACGCGCACGCGGCGGGCGTGCCGCCGCCCCCGCCCGCAGCACAGCAGCAGCACAAACAGGCTTCTGCTGCTCCGGCCCCACCCCCGTGCCACCACGGCCCGCCGGCGGCCCGGCCGCCGGCGGCCGCCGCCGAGGTGGTGCAAGTACGCAGCCCGGCCGTGGGCGGCGGCCACGGTGCTCGTGGTGAACCTGCCCCCTCGCAACTCCGTACTACCTCAACAGCAAGAACCCAGAAAACCAACACCACCAGATGCATGCCCGTGCCCAGCTCCCCGCACCACGCGCCGGAAACCGCCGCCGGCCCGCTGCCCCTCGACCTGCAGCCTGCGTCCTCGGGCAACGCGCTGCCCACCTACAGCCACACGTCCATCGAGGTGAGTGTTCTGGGGCTTCTTTCAACTCTCTGAGACCTGTCAACCCTACCACAAATCTCTATTTGGAAGCTTCGGTGGAAGATAATTTTCGAGTCTACCAAAACTTTAGTCGCACTTTTAATAGTGAATTTTGTCATGAACAGTGATACAATAAAACTATATTTTAGTGTGACACTATTAAATTTTGAAAAATTATTTAACTAACAAAAAGCATGAAAAGGAATAATAAGCATAAAAATAAACATAAATGTGCAGAAAAATGACTAAAAATTAAAAATTGATAAAAAATGACCCAATATAACCAAAATAATTTTCTATCACCTATGAGTGATAAAAACATTGATTTACAAGTTATTCACGGCTTAAGACTATACTAATGAAACGATACTGGTCATCAGAATCTGAGCCCTAGTGATAACATTGTGGTGGTCACTCATTTTTGCACAAGATTTTAAATATGATAATAAAGAAATACTTGACAATACACTTCTTTAAAAAGTAATCATGGCTTATTTAAAATGTAACTGAAAAGATATTTTCTATATTTTCAATGTGTTGCTGCAAGAATGGAATTTCAAAATTTGGTAAAAATTACTTGCACAGACAACAGTACCTAAATAAAAGAATTTTTTTCCCAAAGTTTTTATTTTTCAACAGATGCAAAAACAGATGCATCCACTTTTACAAATCTTGCATGAAAAAGTCAACAAATGCTTCCTAAATACTGAAAACCAAAACCACAAAATACTTCTTTAAAGAACAAAACCATAAAATTAAATAAATAAATAAAATAAATTCAAATAAAATAAAAATTAAAATTGTCACACTTAAATTTTTTTGAAATGTAATACTTCAGTTCACAAAAATATTTTTTTGTATATTTGAGTAAACAGGCTCGTTTTAATTTAAACGAAACGCAATGATCATGGAAATGAGGCACTTTGACTTGTTTTGTATTGATTTTATAGATTTGTTTTCTTGTTCTAAACATTGTGAAATGAAAATCCAAAAGGGATTCCAAATTGGGATCTGAGAGGAAACTTGTTTTAATAACAGTTCTCCTACTAATATAGTCACTAATAGAATGTGATAAATTTCAATTTTATATTAAACATTACATTTTAAAACATGATTTGTCTTGAAATTTGCTACAATTTTCAACAATTTTGTCTACTTTGTTAGCAGCCTGTGTCTGCTACATTTTACTCAACATTGGACTCCGACAGCAACAATGGACCCGCTGGGAACACAATGACAGCTCTGCCTACAGGAGGTGGGAACAGAGTGCACTATTTGCTAACGAAAGGCCAAATAGACAGTGTGCTCTAATCATGTGGGTGGCCACATGTGCGATGTGTTATTGAATGTGGCTTTCCAGCAATGGAAGAGGAAAAGGTGGCGGCCACGCCCTTGTGCCGAGCAAGTACTCATTCGAGATGTGGATCCGTACTTACAATCCTGATAGTGGCTTTGCTCGATGCTCGGGAAACCTAGTCAAAACTTTCCAAACCTAGGACGTGTGAAGTTCTTAACCACTTAGTCCAACCGGGGGGGGCATAAATAGTCCTGTAATGATGAAAAAACGATTAAATGTTTGGGTAAGCGATGTTAGCAAGTGTGTGCCTGCTTGTGTCTTCCACACTGTCAGTATGCACCTTGATGTTCCCAAACAAAGTCCAGTCAAACCTTTAGTGACAGACAGATATTTAAGTGAGAAATAGTCATTGGTAATGCCATGGCACTATAGACTCGAGCATTTCATGGAAGGTATTGCCTTGGTAACAGGATAATGTGTTGTATTGTATTGTATTGCATTGCATTGCCTAGTGTTTAAAGGCATAACCAAAGATAAAAGTTGGAAACAGAGGAATGCAAATGTCATCCAATATATTGTTTGGTTGGAATAATGCCTAAGCAAGAAGACTTTTTTATGTGGCCAAGCATTTTGAAAGTCTGAAGGTAATTAGGTGGAAAAGCCTTGTAGAGCAGTTGGTAATTTGTTACTGGAGAACTGAACTTACAAATTTTATTACTATTAAAAAAACTATCTAATGTTTTCATATTTTCTCCATACGTCATCATTTACTGTTTTTTGTAATTATTTGTTAGTGTCCGTGTCTTAAAAAGTCAGATTCAACACATGCCCATAATACTACTTCAAACATTTTTATTTTATTTTTTTAAAGTGTTATAATATAATAATGTATTGTGCTTTTCTACTTTTGTTAATCTTAATGTTGTATGTGGGATCTATCCCTGTTCTATGCTTTTGTAAACCCCCTCAAACCTGAAACATATTTTTTGATAGTAATTAATTCTGAAATTAACAATGAGGATGGCATTTTTAAAAAACAGTCGTACAAATTTTTTCAATCTTTACAAGTCCAGTATGTCTTGTAAGAACTACAGTCTAGTTCATATCCAATAAACCAGTGATGCTGATGGTCATGGTTGAAGTGGTCTGATAATGGAGGGGGCCAGTTTTTTGGAGAGAGATTGGTGGTTCAAATTTTTTTTTAATTGTCATACTTTGTGGTCAAGTTAACATGGGCATATTAAATATTTTTGGGGAAAATAGGATCCTACTAAATTAAAGCTTGCTAACAACAAGATAATGAATTAAAATGTTGAAATGCAATTTGGTCCCTTGTAACTACCTTCCTTCTGCCTGTTCAGAAGTATGGATTATCCTGCTAAAATGACACAGGTTTTATTTTTCATTTTTTTATGAGAAATTTATTGAGAAGCTACCAGCTCTTTGCAGCATTTCTCTTTCTAAGAAAAGTCGTAATATAAAATATATTTGCAATACCTTCGGTGTTTGTTGGCTATAAACTTACATTTTTGTCATCTGTATGTACTGAAGAGCTGCAGCTACATCTTTTGAATAAGAGAAAATTTCCTCCCCCTGGAAAAAAAAAAACTTCTTAACTTTCTTTTTTTCCATTTATTACTTAACGAATAACTGTGTGTATTTAGTGATAATCCATAATCTTGTCTTGTCTGCCTCTCAGCTCACCAATTTTTTTTGTATGTTCTGCCATGTCAAACATCAAGAGTCAATACCAGTGGACAATGGTCAGTGACTAGGTGCCACTTTAAGAAGAAATTTAAAAACCATTCCGTTCATTTTAAAAGAGACTGTAGTGGAAATCTAGTCATATATGTCTGAAGCTGAAAGGTGTATGTTACTTGAACACATGGTCACATTTCACTTTTTAAGCTTTTATTCTAGCCTCTTGTTGTTATGAATGACTATGTAATAAGATTCCATCTTGTATTTCCATAAACTTAAGAACTTGTATATTGAAAAAACATTCGTTACTTACTGGTGAAATTGTAAAGTATCCTGGTGTTTCTTACTTCTCTATTAGTTTATGTTGTTATACTGTATGGCATTTGAAAACTGTTCTATTGCACATATTGTATTCTATGTTTACGGCCTTCAAAAGATTTGCAGAAGTTCCTTCGGAAAAATTATTTATTTTAATGAAGTTAGTCAAATCACATTTTGTATTGTGGAGATCAGCAGGTCAAGCACATTTGTAAAAAAGTTAAATTTTTACCAATGAATGTATCCAAGCTTGGTAGTGTCATCTTTGCATGGCTTGTAGTATTATGCCTGTCAATGCAAAGTGAAAGTCATAGAGATCAAAAACAATTTTAAGTATTGTATGTATTGGTTATCATTATTGCCAAACTTTAGCAGCTTTGTGTGTTTGAAACGCATGGAGATTTACAATTGAAGGTAGGCAGTAACTTGATTACTTCTCCTGCCTTTTGCCAATAGAATGTCTATCTCATTAACTTCTAAACAATTTGAGTTGCAATCGCTGTGTATTCCATTTCTAACCATTGAGTGTGAATGTAGCCGGACATGTTGCAACCAGCATGTCTATCGGTTAGAATATTACCCATGCATGTTGAGTTTAGTAACATGAATTGCCATACAAGCTGCATTGTGTTTGCTGGCAGTTTCTTGCTGTTTGCATGTTTTTGATTCCACTGTACAGAGAATGTATTTTGAAAATTTAAGTTGTCAATTGAACTAAATTTGTGTCTGAATACTTACATGTAAGTCATTTCGGCGCAGTCTGAATAATAAATAATTATTGTAAACTCATTTGCATTTTCCTTTCCGCTTTCCTTCTTTTTCCAACAGGTCAGAGTAAATTTTTGTTGTAGGGAGTTGTAATCGTTTTTGCGGATATACAAATAAATTGGTATAACAGGCTTCATTCTAACATGAGGACAAAAAATAATGAAATAAGCTGGATATATTAATTATAAAGAATAATAATTTTCAAACCCAAACCCCTAATAACTTTGTCCTTCTACTACAGCACTGGCAGCATTTTAAGTGACTTGGACGGTTCTCTCACCTTGTTGGGTAATCAATGTGACTTGCTCTGAAGCCAATCGGCTTGCAAGGATTTGTTTACTTTCTTAACAAACCAGGGTACAACATTTCCTCATCTGAAATCGCATGAAATCATGGAGGGGTTAGGTTCAAATTTGGCAAATTTATGAACATAATATCAAGATATACCATCTGTCAGGAAGTGTTAAAGTTTAGATTTAATTTTATCTGTGATGTACGTGGTGCCGTATGCCCTAGTATGTTTAGTGCACTGAACTATCAGTCATTTATATTCCGCGATACTGTTGGTAGCCCATTGTAAACACTGCTTGGCTGAACGTGTGGCGTG